ACCCTTTCTGGAATCAAGCCGCGGACATCCAATCCATACTCCGTCGCAATACCGAGTGAGCTATCCCGGCTCACAATAATTCTGCCGGTATATGGGTTCACAAACATTATCTGTGGCCTTACGTGTAACTTTTATGAAAGACACTTTTTAGTTGAACATCTTGAAACCTGAATTTTGTATCTCCCCCTACTGGATGTTACGACTGGATTGCGAGTACGCGCGACCCCTGCACTCTGCATGAAACATTACCGCAGGTCAGGTCATACGCGACATGTGCTGCATAGAGTAGCACCCAGATGGCTTATCTCCGACTATTTTGAGTCCCCCACGCAGATTTTCATTCCACCAACTTCTCTACATTCATCAATCATCCTATCATCCGATGCTATGCATGCTCGATACTGACAGTAGTTTTAAAATCATCTAACAACCTTAATAAGACTGCAGAAGCCTCGTTTCAATTCAAAATAAATACACAGTATTATTAACTGTCAGTATCTCCTATGTAACAGAGGCCGAAGATAGCAATGATCGACATATCAGGAAAGATACTAAACCAGATAACTTTTTTCCGAGCCAACATTATGCGCAGTTAAACTTACTTCAACAAAACTTGCTAATATGTGAGGGGCTTCTCTTAGGACTAAAGTGCATATTTCTTGGGAACTTCCACCGAGCAGGTCACGCAGTATGGTAATGCGTCCGGCACGCATTCGGGACGTAACCAGTTCGAATCCAAATCGAGGCAAAATATATTCTTCGTTTTTCGTACTTTGCGTATTCACTCCAAGCGATATTGCTTGATCTTCACAATGAAGTTGGTTGAGGCACTATGATACAAGACGGGAAGTCGCGGGCTCGATTCCCGATGAGGTCACTGGATTCCTTCTAGATTGATCTAATCCTTCCAGCCGCAATATGGCCTTGGAGTCAACTCAGTCTCTAACAGAAATGAGTACCAGGAATCTTCCTGGGGGTAAAGGGCGGCCGGCGCTAACACTGACCTCACTGTCATCTGTGAACCGATAGTCTAGAACATGTGGGAGCCTCGACGTCTCACAACCCTATGGGCTTCCACGGCCTGTTATAGGGATAGCTTCACCTTACCTTACCTATCATAATACATGAATTTTCTCATACCCGGTTGCGAACATCAATCAACAGTACAACACCTACTGCTATATTCTCGCATCGGCCGAGTGTGGCGGTAGCGGAGGAAATATCGATGGCCATGCGCAAAACTAAATTGTGTTACCACCAAGTTTTGCTGGCGCTACATTATCAGTATCACTACTATAGACGTAAAACATTTTTGAGGCTGCTTATCATCAGATAGTCATGCAGATCCTTAAGTCATCACTACACACTTGTTGACTCTATTTGCAACGCACGATGGGTACTAGAATCGCCATACCAAAACATCGTTCAAGAAACGGGACTTCACTTCCGCAAGGTTGCATACCAGAGGTATGACGTAGCCTCTGAGATGTTTCAGACAAAGCATAACTGCAACTGGTCAAGAGATTTCCCGTCATTATCATGCTCACGAGAGCCTTCTACTGGACACTACCACGAGCCAAACGAATTCTGCTCGCACCCTCGGATTTAAAGATTACTGTTCATCGATGCCGTACGGGGCTGAATGACTGGAAGCCGGGATAGAGACTGGCTACGGGCTGGACGGTCGAGGGGTCGGAGTTTGAGTTCGGTAGGGGCAAGATTTTTCTTCTTTCCACGTCGTCCAGACCAGTTCTGGAACTCACGCAGCCCTCCTATTCAATGGGTACCGGAGGATCTTTCCCCGACGGCAAAGCGGCTGGGGCATCAAGCTAACCATTCACCTCCACCTTTCTCTTTTTATTTATGTTTTACGGGACTGGCCACATTCTGAATCCATTTCCTCCTGTCCCATGGGACTGAGTGCACGTCGCCAAATGATGTATGCTTATGCGCCAGAGCTTAGTTCTTTCACTTGACACGCAACACACGTATGGTGGAGAAGTTGCCGAAGTCATCAGGCGTTTGAAAAAAATTAATAAATCGTTACGGTCGACAATACAACGGACAGACCGTCAGAAAGCCAGTACTTTGCTTCCGGTAATAATATTGCTCTTCTTTGCTGAATGGATAAGCTGAAACCCTTCGGAACTGTGAGGCCTGAGTTTCTCACGACACGGCGGTAAACATAAAGATTACTGTCTTCTGGGATGTGACACAGTGTAGTTTGGTATATATCTATGTTTCGGAGGGACCTGTTGCCTCCATCCTGAGGATGAAAGCAGCATGTTTCTCCCTAATGCTTGTACTTGTCTACCATAAACTTACGACCTTCCTAGCAGTTGCAGAATACAATTTATGATCATACCGTACAGTCTGTTCATCGATGATTCACACGAGAGCACTGCCTCCATCTTCAGGGCCAAAGAGCAAGAAAGGTTTTCCGGATCACTTTTGTACCCTGAAGACGGAGACAGTACAGTCCTCTGTAACATCGGTAAACTTTTACTAACTGCACGGCGTCACATTCCAGAAGACAGCAAGTCTTTATATCTTGAGATCCTCAAACCTCACATCGCCTCACACTGTCTGAATGGCCTGTCTACTTCCCCGTGCATGTTTTGGAACTCTGTCCCGGTCCTGCAGACATCTGTATTTCTCTGCAATCTTCAAGAACGTGGGAAGCCTCAATCGCAGATTCGTCGCAATTTCTTTGTGGGTTATATACGCTGTCAGTATCTAGTCTATACAGTATCGAATAGGCTGACAGATGAAATATCCAAGGGAGAGTCAGTAAATAGTACACAAATGGAAGTAAAACTGACGTAATGGACACAATAAATTTTCTATGTGTATCACTAGGTGGCAGTCTAGGTAGCAGACGAGCATCTGCATGTTCAGAGGCCGGTTTCAGTAGTCAAAATGACTACCGCGCCTAAGAAGTTTAATACCGAAGAGCAACCTTCTGTTGTGCGTTTTTTGTGGGCAAAAGGACTCAGTGATAAAGAAATGTTTTCTGTTTACGGTGGGAAGTGTTTACCGCATGAGGCGCTTCGCAACAGGGTGGCACACGTTTCGCTGGTGACGAAGTGGTTGAAGCGGAGGTGCGGAAGTGGCTGAGACAACATTCAAAAGACTTCTGTGCTGCGGGTTTCGACGCACTGGTAATGCGGTGGGACAAGTGTATCCATGTTGCCGGAGGATATAGTAAGTAAGTAAAGCTATCCCTGTAACAGGCCGTGAAGGCCCATAGGGTTGTGAGACGTTAAGGGTCCCACATTACCTTGACAATCGGCTCAAAGATGGCGGTAAGCTTGTCAGCCTTACGCGCCGGCCGCGCTTCACTCCCCAGGAAATTATTTAATTAATTCCTGGTACTCATTTCTGTTAGAGGCTAAGTAAACCCCAGGGCCAAGTGCGGCCGGAAGGATTAGGTCAACTGAAAAAAATCCAATGACCTCATCGGGACTTGAACCCGCGACCTTCCGGCTTGTAGCATAGCAGCTTAACCACTACGCTACCGCGTACCCCTGCCGGAGGATATATCGAGAAATAAATGTTTTTCCCGGGTTCGAACATCAAATGTTTTACGTTTTATATCCATTCCTGGCTTATTCACTGACTCTCCTTCGTATACTGAGAAGGATCTGAAAGGAAACAGTCGTAGCCTGGTGTACTATGCCGGCATTTAAGTGCAGATACCATGGGGAAGACTAGAAACAACGCAGTCTGGGTAGTTTGTGTCTCAACCGAGAATCGAACTGAGCATCTCTCGAATGAGTCTAGAGTGTTACCGGTACGTCAACCCGCTCGGTTATTAGCTTGATAAGATTCTTGAAACAGGTCCGTCAGGCCCGGTACACAGTGCCCCCATGAGGGCACACATCTGCTCTTGTTAGGGCTTCCTTCCTCTTCCGTTTCTGCTCCCCTTCACATCCCGCCTCTACCATTCTTGGGGTTTCAGTCTGTACTCCCACCCATTCTGCCCTTGAAACAGAACTTTTAGGGTCAATGTTCCCTACTCCGCCTCTCCTACCTTCCCTATTCCACCCAACGGTCACGCCGAGCCATTACTTCTCACACCTGTCTCGTAAAATGAGCCCTTACATGAGCCTCAGACTCTTCCACAGTTCTCACTCCGACTGGTTCGCTCTGGGCTCCTAATCCCAACCATATTTTCCCATGCTCAGCTCACTCTTATACTCTGACGATGGCGGCAGCACGTTCTTCCGAAAGTCGATAAACATCTATCAGGCTACACGCCATCACACCCCCTTTACATCAAGCACCATGTGAACCTGAACTGTCACACGAACTTTCAAATTTACTGAATAAACGTTCCCAAAGTCTTATGGTTTCTAGTCTGTATAAAGCGGCACGTTCCCGACATTTGCGCATGTCGGCTGCTTGAATTCATTTCCACATATAAGTTTCGGAAACGCCCAAGAAATTGTATACTAACTTCACAGAGCTGAGCCCTTCTTGAGAAGCTGTCAGTAGCTCAGCCACTCAAGCATTTCCTAACATTTTACGGAACCCTAAGGTTCATTACCATGTTCATATGAGCCCCTCTCTTGAGCCAGATCAATGCAGTCCATACCACCCCATCCTACCTCTCTAAGATCCATTTTAAGAATCTGTATAGAGATACTCGAAACAAATAAGACAGAGCCAGCGTATAGGTGAAGTTGTGTCTGTGTTTAATTAAGCATCGTGCATTCTTCATCTCGTCAGTTCCAAGCTCTCGCCTCTTTACTCCCAAGGAAATGCTCTTTACTCCCAAGGAAATGGCTTCCAATACCCACTGGGCTGGAGGCTCAGCCCTTACTGGGAATCGCTCCCCTATTTCTTGGTCGCCCAGTCCGTAGCCTGGTTACCGAATAAGATTTGTGTGGAAATTAGCGAAGTAAATATTGTACACTGAATGTTCGAATGGTTCTGGGGACACTCTGGAAGGACAAGCGACACCCAGACACAAGGTACAGTGTATGGTTGGAACTCACCTCGTTTGAAGAGCCATCCCTCCTTGACGATGCTGGCAGTCGGTGGAACCCCCCCACTGCCGGGCCCTCCCGCCACCTCCGCCATCTGTAACAGAAACACATTTACCAACAACCACTCATGCATGCAGTTACTTACAATGACACAAATTATGCACACGGAAAATCGCAGTACGAAACGCCACGTTAAGTATCTGCCCTGGTTATCATAAATTACATTAAGGCTCATTTAACGACGCTGTTTCAAATGTAGAGATTAATTCTATGGTGGTTACTAAGAAGGGCAAGTAAAATTAATTACAAAGAACACTGAACACTTTTTATACCAACGAGAAGTCGTTAATTCCGACGTACAGCCTCTCTACCCTGCCTGTACCTTACATTTTACAAGTCATACTTTAGCAGCGTCTGAATGAGAAAGAAACGTATAACCACCTATTAGCGTCGAGCTACGGACTGGACGGCTTGAGTTCGATTCCCGGTATGGCAAGATTTTTCTCTTCTCCACGCCGTTCAGACCGGCTGAGGCCCACTTAGCCTCTTTATCCAGAGGGTACCGGTGGCGCTTTCACCGGGGATAAAGCGGGCGGGGCGTGAAGCTGACCACTGAACTACACTTAGTGCAGAGGTCAAGAATGGTGGGGCTATATCTCCACTCCGCCTACAGGCTTTCATCGCTTAGTGATTAATTAGTTACGCATGGGGAAATTTTCACCTTTTTTATTGGTAATGGTAAAAATTGGCAAAATTTGCCCTGAACTTTACTTATTCTTCATGATGTTTAACGACGCTGTCAACAGCTCACACTACAGGCTCTAACAGTAGGGGCTCCCAGGCTTTATGACACGAAGCCTCGCTTTTGGTTTTCACCATTCTCGTGCCCCCATCCAAATCTCTACTGAAACACATGTAATCTTTTACACTACACTCGTACACGTATGCACAGTATCGTTAATAATCAACTAAGTTCGTAATTAGTATTAAACCAAAACTGTGAGTAGAAAATTCAAAATTTCTAAAACGAAAATCCAGCACGATGCCTCAAGTCTGACGACAAATACTGAAATCTAATCACGCTACTATAGTAACCTCTGGGTTAACTACTCAGGCGAGTGTTTACGGAAGATCAAATGCAGCTGAAAAGAATTATTATTTCAGTTAAATCTTACATTAAAAACAATTTTTTTGCTCAAGGTACCACGCCCCGTCCCTGGACCCCCTCCACCTCCCCCACCCACAGGTTGGTACCCAGGGCCCTATAGTCTCAACCAATAAGCATGATTAGCGAATAATGATTTGGAAACAACGCGGAAGCACAAGACCGTGACCCAATTGGACAGCTTCCGAGTGCGAGGTTTGCGAGCGTCGAAAATATGCAGCTCTTACCTTGAAGTTGTTTTGCTAAACGGTTTCCTGTGTTGCTGTTATTCCCATTGTTAACAAACGTCGACGCTTTGCACTTTTTTATTATAGCATCTGCACATCTGTAAAGGAAATGATTCATTTTATTTTAAACAAAGGGGCAAATGAAGCGGTGTCCTGCCAAGTAACCGTCGCTTTAGTCTATCGCTGTTACCATCTGTTACTTTCGTTATTTATCTATTTATAGTTTATTTAATGACGGCACTAGCTCAGGGTACACAGTGCTGAATGCTGCAAACCCCACCTACTAAGTCATACTTTGTATAGGCAGCCTTACAGAGGAAGGGGCACGCTGTAGCGTAATCGACTGAGTTTTTTTATTGCTAGTAGGGTGGGACTAAGTCCCTTGTACTGCGGCCACTTCTGGCCTATTGTACCAGCCCCAGATGATAGGTGAGGGTGATTGTGGAGCAATTGGTGGAATGAAGATTGGCAGGGGAAACCGAAGTACTCGGAGCAAACCTGCCCCAGCGCCACTTTGTTCACCACAAATCCTGTTTGACCAGACCTGGGATCGAACCCGGGCCGCCGCGGTGGGAAGCCAGCGACTAACCGCTTCAGCTATGGCGCGGCTCTATTCGGCTGATTTACTATGCCACGAGCTCACGGGTATATAAGGTCGGATGGTGGGATGACGAATTATGAACTGGAAATTACTTTGAAGGAAGCCTAACTGCGGCAAACTCTAGGATTTCCTTTCCTGGGACTGAGATAACCACGAAAACCTCATGACAGCCGATGACCCGGCAGAGATTCGAACAGAGCACTTCCAATTCTAGAGTTCTACCTCCAGACAAACCTGTTGGGTGCAGTTTATTACATATTACAGTACAACTTATACGATGCGTGAAGACAACAAGCAAGGGGCATATTGCAGATTGCAGACGTAGCAAAGCAGCGGGTTAACAAACACAAAAATAAGCTGCAGAAACGAACCTTCTGGAATGATCACATAGCTCTAAACAAGTGGACGGCGCCCTTTATGAGGTGGAATAGGATTTTACGAAAAAATTTTAATGGATTTTAATTAATTATGTTATTTTTAAGTGCGCTGCAACACGCGGTTTTACCGCACATCAGAGAAGTGTACAGTCTGGATGCATTAATACGCCTGAAGATTGCCATCTACGGTTGAAACATGTTGTGTTAAGTATTAAATGGTGAATAAACAATTGTTGCATTATTGACGGACTGTGTATACACAGACGTTTAAGCAAAATGCAGCGTTTTAATGCCGTTATAACAGGCGGCAGTATAATAACCACTGTCCTATAATAATAAAATACAAAAAACTTACTAACACCGCTGGTTACAAAAAATATTTCTCAATATTCCCGTCCTGTTGAATACATCTTTGGCACATTAACCGCTCGACAGCAAACAGCTATACAGAATACTTAATTACGCTTCAAGGTCTGAATTTTTTTACCTACTACATCCTTCGTTCGACGGAAATTGCGAGGCTTCTCCTTCATGATGCCTTACAAGGAATAATTTGAAGACACACGAGCCTTTATGAGTAAAAACACCCCCTTTACCTTTCCACGACTTCCTAACCCACTGCGAAATGAGCGAACACCGTTCCCAAATTACCTTGCTCAAGGCACAGTAGAAGCTTCATGTAACTACTTACTGCTATGCTCTGTCTACCACATCTTCAAGGGTACGTCGCACTTTAAGTACGCAACCTTGTCCGCGTGTTTAATTAAGCAAGCACTACGCCATGAAGACGTATGGTAGAGTGGAAGTATCGCTCCAATATTCTTGACTTCGGCACTAGGCGGGAGTCGTCAGCTTTATGACCCAGCCGCTTTAACCCAGGGGAGAGAGCCGATGGTACCCATTGGATATGGTACCCTTTGTAAACAGGACCATTGCTGACTGGAACCAGTTACCTGAAGGGGTGTTTGGGACTCACCCTGTTAAAGCATATATATTTAGAAAGAAGGTTAGGAAAGCAAAATCAGTAGAGCAAGTGAAGTGAAGAGAAGTGAAGTGTACTTGTATTAGGTCATTGTACTTGTACTGTACTGTGAAAATTATTTCTTGAGACGTATGTTTTTTCTTGAGACGTATGTGATGTATCTTTGTTGAATGTATGTCCGCTTTTGTAAACACTGCCACCGGGCATAAGCCCAATTGCAGTAAATAATAAATAAATAAATATATATATAATATATATATGAGGCTTGGTGGGCTCCAGAACCGGTGTGGACGTTTCGGAGTAGAGAAATCTCTTGCCCTTGCCGGGAATTGAACCCCGGTCGTCCAGTTAGTCCGTCGCTACACTGGCTGAACTATCCCGAATTCCAAGTACACATCCTTAAAGGTAAAGATAAATTTGTCATTGTGCCTAATTACATAATCACCACGTCATGAAGATATATGGGGCAGTGAAAGTACAGCTGCACCATTCTTGACANTGAATTTTTTTACCTACTACATCCTTCGTTCGACGGAAATTGCGAGGCTTCTCCTTCATGATGCCTTACAAGGAATAATTTGAAGACACACGAGCCTTTATGAGTAAAAACACCCCCTTTACCTTTCCACGACTTCCTAACCCACTGCGAAATGAGCGAACACCGTTCCCAAATTACCTTGCTCAAGGCACAGTAGAAGCTTCATGTAACTACTTACTGCTATGCTCTGTCTACCACATCTTCAAGGGTACGTCGCACTTTAAGTACGCAACCTTGTCCGCGTGTTTAATTAAGCAAGCACTACGCCATGAAGACGTATGGTAGAGTGGAAGTATCGCTCCAATATTCTTGACTTCGGCACTAGGCGGGAGTCGTCAGCTTTATGACCCAGCCGCTTTAACCCAGGGGAGAGAGCCGATGGTACCCATTGGATATGGTACCCTTTGTAAACAGGACCATTGCTGACTGGAACCAGTTACCTGAAGGGGTGTTTGGGACTCACCCTGTTAAAGCATATATATTTAGAAAGAAGGTTAGGAAAGCAAAATCAGTAGAGCAAGTGAAGTGAAGAGAAGTGAAGTGTACTTGTATTAGGTCATTGTACTTGTACTGTACTGTGAAAATTATTTCTTGAGACGTATGTTTTTTCTTGAGACGTATGTGATGTATCTTTGTTGAATGTATGTCCGCTTTTGTAAACACTGCCACCGGGCATAAGCCCAATTGCAGTAAATAATAAATAAATAAATATATATATAATATATATATGAGGCTTGGTGGGCTCCAGAACCGGTGTGGACGTTTCGGAGTAGAGAAATCTCTTGCCCTTGCCGGGAATTGAACCCCGGTCGTCCAGTTAGTCCGTCGCTACACTGGCTGAACTATCCCGAATTCCAAGTACACATCCTTAAAGGTAAAGATAAATTTGTCATTGTGCCTAATTACATAATCACCACGTCATGAAGATATATGGGGCAGTGAAAGTACAGCTGCACCATTCTTGACATCGGCACTGGATGGAGGTGAGTGGTCAGCTTCACGCCCCTGCCGCTTTACTCCCAGGGATAGAGCTCCCGGTAACCACTGGATAAGAGACTGGGTGGGCTGTGGAAAAAGAGAATCTCTTGCCCCTGCCGTCCAACCAGTCGCTATACCGAGTGATCTAAGAAGGTTCCAAGTACGCAACCATACGGTAGAGAAGTCTCGCGTTCAATGAGATCTGCAGTATGGGATTTTCAGTTCTCACTGCATGTTGGAAATAGAATGTAGTAACTTTCTGGACGATGACGTAACGATGTACGTCAATATTCGCTGAAGATGCCCCCTCACATGCTGTTACACTGCCATCGTAAAAGTTTGGCGTGGAACACTTCTGGCACGTTTGTTCCCGTACGTCTAGCTATCTCGGAGACAGGAGAACTTAAGAAAATTGTGTAAAAAGTGAAGCTGTCCCTGTGCTCAACTACGCCATGAAGGCATATGGAGGAGTGGATATACAGACCCACATTTTCTTGATCTCGGCACTAACTGGAGGTGAGTGGTCAGCTTCATGCTCCGGGCGCTTTACCCCTGGGGAAAGAGCCCCCGGTACCCATTGGATAGGAGACTGGGCGGACCCCTCAGCCGGTCTGGACGATTTGGAGAAAATTCGTGACCCTACCGGGATTCGAACTAAGACTCCTCAGTTGTTCAGCCCGGAGCCAGTCGCTATACCGACTGAGCTATCCCGGCTCCTAAGAAAATTGTGTACTGGACATAAAACACCTACTTAGTTTCCTCGCTAACTTCTCTTCGATAATTACTTATCCCCAGTAAAATATTCAGCGAGTTATGCCTGAGATAAGCGCAGAAACACACGCAAGTCTTCATGTGAAATGTCTGCTGTTGCTGTTGACCAAATTTAATCAAAAATTGGAGTTAACATATTTCAGTAATACGGTATTCTCGGCTAATCCGGATTAATTAAGAAAAATAAAGCCCTAAAAGTCAACGAAAACCCGTAGGAAACAAATAATTGGAAAATTTAATAATATAGGTAGTGCTGATGAAAATAAACAACACTAAAAATCACTGCAGAAAAATCTTCCTCTGTCACAAGCTGAAATCCAGAGTATCCTTCATCCAGCTCAAGCCAATCTTGGATATTTTCCTGCTTGGTTTCACAGTCTCTCCAGCTGCCCTCGTGCTCTAATCCCGCTAGCTCCTAAATCCCACGTGCCTTTTAAAGCATGTACTCAACTGTGAACAGAAATTTTCATTTTTCATGTTCAGATCCGGATTATCCGACATCTGCAATGACTGTAACCGGATTAGCGAGGGTTTACTGTACTATCAAATAACAAGTTACATAACGATGCGTTCAGCCGTTCGCAAGCTGTTGCATGCCGACAGACGGACAGACAGACTTCGCGAAGTTAAGGAGACGCATTTCTTGCATATTTTCGTTGTGGAGGCGCTAAAAAGGGGCTCCTATGGTTTCATACTGTGGGCACAAGTTAGCGTAGTTGGTTGAGGCACTAGGATACAAGCCGGAAGGTCGCGGATTCAAGTCCCGATGAGGCGGATTTTTTTTTTCAATTTACCTAATCCTTCCAGCTGCACTATGGCCCTGGGGTCGACTCTGTCTATAACAGAAATGA